TTCTGGGTGGGTGGATGTCTTCATACAACTTTAACTGTCATTGAGCAAAGTTTCTGGTTGTGCTAATATTGGCACAAACACGCATTTGCTCACGCATTACTCTTTGTATTGATTGTAGTCAAACAACAACCAGCAGTGGCTGCAGATTGATCTCCTCAAAGGGAAGAAGATAACCGCTATCACAACCCAGGGTTGCAAGTCCATGTCTACGGAGCAGTTTGTGAAAACCTACGCCATCCTTTACAGCGATGAAGGCACAGAATGGAAACCTTATATGGATGACTCCACTTCAGTGGGAAAGGTACCATTTTAAACTCGGAGAATTCTGTCCATTTCTGAATCCCGAGCACTTTGTCATACTTCTCCAGGCCCAAATGAGGGACAGCCCCAGAATGAGGGGCACAAAAAATTGTTCCTGCAGTTGAATTTAAAATGCTGGTAGAGTGGTTCTTCTCTTATAGAGGACTCTAGAACTTCCCTTTCATGGCTCTTTATTTCTGATGTAAGTAATTTTCAACAATAAAAGGGAGGGGATGCTACATTTGTGAGGAATGCCGTTGAACCTGGGATGAAATCAGTGGCATGCCTTTTACAGAGGAACATTTCAAAGGAATGCACAGAATGTGTACGCGGAAGCCTCTGCCAAACGTCGCTGCAAAATATTTTTTGCTTTAATTTTTTTAAGTGAATTTAGTGCTGGTGGAAGGTCCCAGATTGACAGAGCTGAGACCTCCCTCATCCACACAGCACTTACAGAATCCCCCAAGCCACCTTGACGGATGTGCTTCAATCCCGACCTGCAGGGACCACATCTAGGGATAAGAGAGGGGGGATTTGTCAGTCCCCAGCCAACACAGGGGCCAGTTAGCACCAATTGTGGTGATGGTTTCTGTGATGTAGACAGAAACAGAGACCATGAAATCATTTCCACAGACCACAGTTTGGATCTGACTGGATTTGAACCAGTGACCTAGAGGAGGAAGGCTGTATATACACCACTGGAGTGATCCAATCCACCTCCCTGTCCCCTAACGCAGCAACTCTGAAGCATTTAGATGAAAAAAAAGGAGAAAAAAAAGCGGCAGCATTTTTACGGTAATAATTTTTTTTCACTAATTCATTGTTTTGTTTACTTTCAGGTATTTGGGGGGAATGAGAACAGCAGCGGACAGGTCAAGCATTTCTTAAATCCACCCATATTTTCCAGGTTCATCCGCATTGTTCCTAAAACCTGGAATCGAAGCATTGCTCTTCGGGTAGAACTCTTTGGCTGTGATCCTTCCTAGGTGCTGGACACACAGAGTACACATGAACAAAGGATTGCCAAGTCTGGGAGCCTTACACCTTTCAGCATAGAATCATAGAATATCAGGGTTGGAAGGGACCTCAGGAGGTCATCTAGTCCAAACCCCTGCTCAAAGCAGGACCAATTCCCAACTAAATCATCCCAGCCAGGGCTTTTTCAAGCCGGGCCTTAAAAACCTCCAAGGAAGGAGACTCCACCACCTCCCTAGGTAAAGCATTCCAGTGCTTCACCACCCTCCTAGTGAAATAGTGTTTCCTAATATCCAACCTAGACCTCCCCCACTGCAACTTGAGACCATTGCTCCTTGTTCTGTCATCTGCCACCATTGAGAACAGCCGAGTTCCATCCTCTTTGGAACCCCCCTTCAGGTAGTTGTAGGCTGCTATCAAATCCCCCCTCATTCTTCTCTTCTGGAGACTAAACAATCCCAGTTCCTTCAGCCTCTCCTCATAAGTCATGCCCTCCAGACCCCTAGTCATTTTTGTTGCCCTCCGCTGGACTCTTTCCAATTTTTCTACATCCTTCTTGTAGTGAGGGGCCCAAAACTGGACACAGTACTCCAGATGAGGCCTCACCAATGTCGAATAAAGGGGAACGATCACGTCCCTCGATCTGATGGCAATGCTCCTACTTATACAGCCCAAAATGCTGTTAGCCTTCTTGGCAACAAGAGCACACTGTTGACTCATATCCAGCTTCTCGTCCACTGTGACCCCTAGGTCCTTTTCTGCAAAACTGCTACCTAGCCATTCGGTCCCTAGTCTGTAGCTGTGCATGGGATTCTTCCGTCCTAAGTGCAGGACTCTGCACTTGTCCTTGTTGAACCTCATCAGGTTTCTTTTGGCCCAATCCTCTAATTTGTCTAGGTCCCTCTGTATCCGATCCCTACCCTCTAGTGTATCTACCACGCCTCCTAGTTTAGTGTCATCGGCAAACTTGCGGAGAGTGCAGTCCACTCCATCCTCCAGATCATTAATAAAGATATTAAACAAAACCGGCCCCAGGACCGAGTCACTATGGAGAACTACATTTTTTTTTTAAACTCTTGGAGTGGTCATATTTAGTCCTTCTGAAGTGCCTTTCCTCCAAGGTTCTTGGTGTTTTGCCATCGTGAATTAAAAGAGAGATTTCATTGGCAGATATTTCATTCATATAAATGTACATTGAGGATACAACGGCACAGCAGCTGGGAGGGCGCTTCCCAGAGCGGGTGGGTAGACACGTGCTTGCTCCGCTTGAGCTTGGGTGCTCGAGCAGCAGCGTGGGCGGCAGCTCAGGCTGGCCAGCCGCATATGGACGCAGAGGTCAGGTGGGATTGTTCTCAGGTGGCTAGCCCGAGCGGCCATAGCCATACTGCTATTTTTAGCATGCAGGCTGGAGCAGAGCACGTGTCTGTTTACCTTCACCGACCCAGCTGCAGTGTAGACCCACCCTTAAAAAGAGAAAGTAACAAACATCAAATCCACAAAGCATGCAAGGTTGACATGCCCCTTTCCATGGGAATCTGTGCACCCAAACGCATTCCCTCCACTTCTCTACCACTGTCTTCTTCCCCTAGTCACCCACAATGGTCTGTTCTCCTTTTGTCCTGGTCCTGACCTAATTTTAGATTAAATCTCCTGAGGGCAGGGACCTTGGGCTTAATCCTGAGCCCAGATTTGCTCTCTTTGTAGCCCTCTCACTGCTGAAAGCTATCAGATGTCTCTCCCTAGGCATTCCCCTTGAAGGGGGATTCCCCAGTATGCGTAAAACCACTGTCTACACCACCATCCAGTAGCCGCTGGTGTTGCGGCTGGGAAGCGGGTGTGATGCTGCACTCCAGCAATCCCTGGCTGGTAGGTGGTCCCTTGGAGGGTCATAGCCAGCCAGTGTAGATAAAAGAAGCCTCCACTCTGCTCTGATCTCTGGTGGGGCTGACGTAGAAGTGGCCTCTCAAGATCAAGGATCTGCAACCCCTTCTCTGAGAATCTAGGGCCCTCATCTTTATATTTGCTTTTTAAACATCACGCATGCCTCTGACTCTATATATCATAAATAACCATTAATCTTCTCCG